CWYYWTAWTACAGTTWATAGACTCCARAYCATATTACGAACCCATTTTTATAAGCTTTAAAAACGACTTCCAGGTCTCCTCCTCGTATTCGAAGGACAACCAAATAATAGCTAAGTGAATAGTTTAGGGTGGAGAAGGGAGAAAATATGACGTTAGATTTGTTTATATATTTTTTTTATTCGTCCTTGTAATTTACTACATCAAACATTAGAGTTGGTTGCACCGCATTTTCAGTGTGACCTCACAAGATCATGTTTTTGATTCACGCACAAAATGCAACACTTGCTGTGCTTCTACCATTTCTTGATGAATAAAAAACTTTTTTCCGTTTACTTGAAACGTTGAAAATGCACTTTCTTCCTGAGGAAATTCTATGTCATTCACTAWGAACTKTGTTCTCTGTCGTCCTCCAAAAAATGACAACGTTTCTGCTTCAAACAACTGTTTTGATGAGTTGTAGAACAATTTATGTACATACGCCTTGGAAAAAAAGTGTAAAAGCACAGTTGTTGAGGTTCCAACTAAGCAAAGTAGACTAGCAATTGCAAGTTTGCCAACAAGAGGWACGCTCTCTTTACCAAAGAACACGAGTATAGGAGAACCAACCAGAGATGCTGCAGCAGTAGTCAAAGAAARTGTCTTTACATACTTGACTGACTTGGAAAGAGGTCCTTCATAAACAAGACTCCAGTTTTCCCTATCAGAAACTTCATGCGACATTTGCAAGTTTTGCATTTTCCCAGGATTTCTTCCTAGAGGCACGTGACTTACTCGACATGACAAACTTGATGTTAGCGCAGCCCTTGAATATACTCGATTTCCAAATCCAYGCGTCCAAATAGTTCCCTTGGTAAGGATAGTAGTAGATTTACTAAAACAAACACCTAAACGAAGCATATTGATAAAGAAAGGTCATAGATCTCCCTCCATTTTGATTTTAGTAARCCTTTTATGTTACTTYTCACCAAATCTGATGGCCGCTGGCCGAATATTGTCGTCTCATTCACGTGATAAAATAAACCAATCACAGGGGTGTATTTTTACAGCATGTCGGCCATTTTTCCTTCAGTCATCTAGAAGTACCAGTGTTTCAAATACTTGAATTTCTCTTAGAAATATTCATATGTTGGATCGTAAACCATGCAACAAGGAACATAATATATAGCTCTAGGTATCCTTTCAAAGAAAGACTCGGTGAGTTGGTTAGATTCTGTTATTTAAAAGACTCAAACGAAATTAGTGGATTGCACGTTGTTCGGTAGATTTCCCGGTCAGTTGCACTCTTCATTAAGTCATTTATATTAAGCTTCAATTTGAATGATCCCTTAATGCTATTTATAGTAGGTGTTTTGAAGAAAGCTGTTTCTGATTTGTTAGCTTTGATCACAGCCTATCTGATGTGCAAGTGAGTTTTATTTTATGAGTTGTCCGGTGTTGTATTTAAAGCTAGTTTCAAGTTTGCATATTTGAAGACAGCTGTCCCTGAAACACCTGACTATTTCTAGAACTTCCTTGGCCACTTCAACGGCTTTTATAAACACGTACAAGAAACAGCAGAAAACTTATTTTATTGATTTTAGTAAGGGTATCAACGATATCTTGATTTTAAATTTTATGTTATATCAATTTTATATATCATTTATTGACAATTTATTGTACCAATTACATCTGTAGGATTTATGTTGGCGAATGGATACTCACCAATGTATATAAACTAAACAGCATGATCTTTATCTTTTTATATAATTTGTAGCCAGTGACTGAACAGCTTTAGTGGCTTTACTTCACTGTAAAGTCATAGCAAGATACATTCTAATTGCTCTAAAATGACTGTTAGAAATGACCATTGTTTTGGTTTGATTCCAGGAAGTAAATAAAAGCATGGATGATTTAGCCAGTGGAGCCACCACTAGCCAACAAGAGAATGATATAACGTCAAGAGTTGGTGATATCACCTTGGAAACAAAATTGCTGTCAAACTGTAATCAAGACCAAGAACAAGTTTCCACGTCAGTTGCAAAGCATGATGGTAAAGATGGGATTCTAGAGGGAGAGGTCAGTAGTAATATAGGTTTTCATATACAATGAACTCTCAACTTGATTGTGTATGTTAAATGATTTCCAGCTCCAAAAAATGCTGAAATATGTAACACCCTCTGCAGCAGACTATTGCCCATTGGAACAAGAGTTGTATTTGAAGRGAATCATGTATGATCGAAGAACAAAAAGCTCATTTAGGCACAATTGAAAGATTACTAGACGTATGATTAATAGAATGCTATCCACATTTGTGTTTGTTCAGGAGGGTGAACTAGACTATGAAGAAGATGAAGGAGAAACATTAGACACTTCAGCTAATAAACAAGAAATACCAAAGAAGACTAAAGAAAGTAGTGATATTGAAGAAGGGGAACTAGAGGATGGTGAAGTGAAYAGTGATGGGGAGGAAGGAGAAATCTTATCAGACAAGGATGACGTAAGTACTACATGTGCCTACAATGTGGTTATTTTTAATGATTTTTTCATATTTCCTTTTATAAGTTTATCTAGTTTTCTCTAGTTTTCATTTTTCAGCATAAAGCTATTGTATCTTTAAAAAGATACACTTTGAAGATGATAACCCCTATCTTACATAATGCAATTATAAAAATAAGCTGACATGTTTTTATGTTGATCCCAGGATAAGTCAAAGAAAAARACAGACAAGGAAGAAGGAGAAATAAATGAGGTACAAATTGTTCTTAAACTGTAGCTACTGTATTTGTGGCTTGTTGTGGTTGTTATAAGGCACTTCYAGGCTTGTGTTATGCCCAATGTACCCATATCTCATAGTGTTAAAAACYACCTTTAATATTAGCTTTATTTTGTCAACAAGGATGATTTAGAGGATGGCGAAGTCAGAGATCAGTCTGATGGTTACTCATCAAACCCAGGTTTGTAAAAATATCTCTACTTAAGAATGTATAAAAAGATTGACAAAAAACAACAACAGCAACAAGATTAAAAGGACTTGTACTGAAAAGAGTGCATGAAACATGGCGTGATAAGGTTTTTTCATGAATTATTTTTCTTGTAGGTAGAGGAATTCCAAGAAAACTTTGCAGATATTTTGTCTCAGGTACAATCACTACCTTTGAACCTTTGGGTTGTGTAATTTAAATTTCATAATTTTATTCTTAAATTCATCTACTTTCTACCACCTYTTGGCATCATGAATTAGTTTGAGGTGTATTATGGTTGTATCATTGCTTTTTTTCAATCATTCTTATGACATATGTTCTGTGACTTGTTAGGGAGCTGTACTTGGGGCGTTTCATGCAGATTTCTACATCCAGGTATCAATGACAAAGGTAATCCATTCCTTAGTATAGTACATAGTTATTATTGTATATCATTCTCAGCCTCATTTCTGTTAAAGGTGCATATCAAATGCTACCTCAACCAGGACAATATCCAGTACCATATGTAAGACCATCTCAGCCAACACCATTCCCAGCAGTAGAAACAGCACAGACTACTCCAGCTCTTATACCAGAATATGACCAACCWGAGGTAAAATGGACTATTTTCACTGTTCTATTATACTTTGTTATTAGAGTAATGCATGAAGTCTAAGAAAAAAAGAATGAAATATTGATTCAAAATAATGTTTCATTTACGCTTCACATGCAGGATCTTGATACAGATCCAACCACCAATAGTAAACCAGTAATACCAGAGAAAGAGACGGCATGGGAAAGAGGAATACGTCTTGCTAAAGAGGTCAGTCATGATATTGATTTTTAACTCAGTTAGCTCTGGACTAATTTCTAACAAACTTGACCCCGAAGGTTAGGGTCTTCTCAGCAGAAATGGCATATTTTGTAGATAGATGAAACACTAATTCTTTTTTAACACTTTTTTTTGAAGAACAAAAAGGCAGCAATGCGCCGTAAAGAAGAAGACAAAGAGTTTGAGCAAAAGCGCATGATGTTGAGTATCAGTGTAGATGTTGAGGAAGAAGACGGCAACAAGGAAAATCAAATCAAAAGRAAAGATTTGAGAGATCGCATGAAGAAAGATATTGACAGCACTGACAGGGCGAGGGGGAGTGGTGCAGCATCACGATGGAGAGATACTGGAGATAGATATTCATATAAGGTGAGGAGAAAGAAATTGTAATTGAGAATATAAATGAGATTTGAAAATGCGAGAATAGTATCGCTATAAACATCTGTCGTGATCCCTTCTTTAGGATAAAGAAAAGAAGAAGACAAAAAGAACGAGACGATCAGTTTCTTCATCACCTGAAAGGTACTATTATTCATGATCAATTATACTTGCAATTAAATAATCTATTGCAAAGGTGATAATGATTATTATTTTGTTGACGAAATTGATGTTGATGTTATACTAGAAGCAAGTATGATCGTCGCCGAGAAAACAGAGAGACTACCAAGCAAAGCAGTGATTTGGACAGGAAGAGAGATAAAGACCGACCTACGAAACCCAAGTCAAGTGAGCCCATTAAGACAAAAGACAATTCTACGCCAGTATCAACCACTAAAGAGCAAGAAACAAAAGACACCAAACCCGTGAATAAAACCAAGACATCAAGTGATAGCGATACAGAAGATAAAACTAAAACTAAGGGTGGAATTGTAGGAATATCTAATGACAGATTAGCCAGTGAYGAATGGCATGATCCATGGCAACGAACTACCTCACCAAAACGACGGTCGCCAAGGAGACGATCCACCACTTCAAGTTATTCCTCACGAAGTAGGTCTTCTTCGTCATCGTCCGGCTCKTCACGCTCGTCACGTTCTAGGTCACGCACTCCTTCTTCAACTGGTTCAGAGTCACGGTCATCATCAAGGTCCATTTCCAGGTCACCAAGTCGCAGCAGATCACGAACACCTTCCGAGACATCATCGAGATCTCGATCACGATCCGCCACGCCATCTTCGGAAAGTGATCGTTCAAGCACGTCAAGTCGCACAAGCAACAGAAAGGAAGAAAATGTAAGACTACTTTTAGAACTTATGTCCTTTGTGCACGTTTTGCCCTTCAGTCTCACTTCACTTTTAAGAAACCTTATCTTTGACACGTGTTGTTTTCATTTCAGGCATCGAAACCTAGCAGTGTGAGAAACCGGTCCATTTCACATTCACARTCCGATTCTGAGTCACCCTCGGAGTCTGAATCAGAATCAGATAGAACACGTTCCAGTGCTTCTCCCATCCCCACTAAACCTTCCAGTCCCACTCGGTCACCAAGTGGRCGCGGTATACGTAGTCCTCCTGAACMAGTAAAAGAGCGTGAATTTAAAGAGAAGAAAACACGGGTTGAGCACGATAGTCGGGAAGAACGTGGCGATAAATATCGACAACAACCGATGATTGGTTGGGATCGACGAGAACAACAGCGATGGGAGGATCCTTACGGGTGAGTACACAGGCAACCCAATCATCTATTGTAGCTTAATGAACTTTGGAATGATTAATGTATAGATGGAAAATTGAAAGATGTTTGGGTTAACAGATTTAGGGATGAGAGGATGAAACAATGAAGGGATGCAAAGAATACTTGTATGATGAAGATGTCTTGTATTGTAGGAGAGSAACACGTGATAGTCGTGGAAACAAAGAAAGAGAAAGCAATCAGCGAAGACGAAGATCTCCACCAACAAGACGGGTATGTCGTACACGTCCCGTAGTATATTTTACCAACCAATGCTGAAATAATTGATTTTCTTCAGGATGGCGACCAGAGAAGACATTTCGAAGAGGCTGCGCCTCACAGGTAAACCAAGAATGGGTCGTACATGATGATTAGCAATATGATGATGATTACTATAATGACAATTAACACTACTTATAGTGGATACATTGTGATGGTGATGATGAGATTTGTAAGCTGGAGCTAGTGTAAGCTGCGTCGGTGTTTCTGCGTCGGTCGTTCGTCGGAGGACGTTATCCTCCATTGATGGACGGCTGTTTCAGTTCTGATCACGATAGCAGCCATACTTATTGATGTCACAATACTCTCTTACAGTCAGAGAGATAATATGGATCAATCAAGAACATTATCACCACCACGATCACGTGATTACAATCGACGTGACGATCGAAGTAGTAATGGTACCAGTAATAACACCAAGAGTGGCACACGAAGTTCCAATGTACCAAGTAACGAGTCATGGGCTGCAGAAAGACGAAAAAGGCAGCAAATCCCATTGTCCAGCGGTAGTGTGCGATACGCTGGTCACAAAGATATTAAACTCACTCTTAATAAGGTTTGTTCACTTGAAATYAGTCATAACKCAATCGTGAAAACTAATCATGCTTGCGATATTAGTCCGTAGGTAAAGCACAGCCTGCATCCCAGTCTTCAAGATCGTACTCTCCGACAAGACAAGCTGAGGCAAGCAGTAGTAGTACTGGACACAAAGATAATGAATCCAAGAAACGTTCTGGGCGACCAGTTGAGCCCGATGCTCCTCAGCGGCATTCCAGTCCTCGCGATGATGTCACGTCTTCTAAACCAATCAAACGCGCAGCTGATAGTGTCCTTACTCCAAGACCTGTTGACGCACCCTCTAATAAACGCCCCTCTGATGATTCGTCCAAGAACCGGTTGGAGCCAACGAGATCTTTAAAACGATCAGCCGATAGTGCGCCGACTACTAAACGAACAGCACCCGAAAATGTACCGATTAAATCACAGCCTCGTGATCAACCTGAACCTGCAGACTCTAAACAAGGTCATTTGTCGAACAGCTCCCGAAGAGAGGAACTTTTACGAGAGCTTAAAGCAGTCGAGGACGCTATTGCTCGAAAGCGAGCGAGAATAGAATAATGTGTATACAATGTTGAAATAACACGCGTACATATTTATAAATCGATATCATTATATTTGACAAATCGTTGTTAATATCGCTCTCTTTTTGGTGCACTTGTATCAAGTGGAAGGGAAAGAGCGCAGATCCCCATTGGGTGTAGTCTCCTTCGCTGCCATTATACACCCTTTTAATAAGTCCCGAGGTATTACGTTCTCCGCACTTGACGTCAAATTTATTCTTTTGAATTCCTTTTGTATTGTAAAAATTTCAAAAGAAGAAATTTGACGTCAAGTGCGGAGAAAACAATACCTTGGGACTTATTAAAAGGGTGTATACGATAAGCTTTCTTCCTTGAGTGACGCTGACAGCCGGAAGGCTACTACTGTATATGTTTCTTACTATGAAAGAAACGTGCATTCAGTCGTCAATCAATGACAATCAAGTCAATAGTCACATATATGTGTCACATATATGTAATCTGGTTGTTTCGATAATAGGTTTTTCTGGCGACTTATCAAGCATTTTTAATTGTAGTAACAAAATTGATCGTTCTCTCAAGGAAGAGTACCAAAACATGATGTATGTATACATTGGGTGTAGCTTGTGATAGACAGTCTATAGTAATTGCCATTGCATCTACTCATTCGACGCAAGCGCCTGAAAAAYAATTTATCACTTTGCGTGCACGCCGTCATAGTTAACAGAAACTCGTCAGTTTATACGCACAGTCTTCTCTCAGAACAAAATGTCAAACTGATTTGTAGAAACCCGCGATAGTTTGGACTGAAATGTCTTTGTATAGCGCAGTTTTTCAGTTTTAAAGTCTGAGGAAATAATTCGTTTTTAGGAAGAAGAGAATATTCTAGTGTGAAAGCGATAAAAACCACAGTAAGAACAAGTACTAGGTTAGCTTTTATAATGCTTGCAGAAAGTACAAGCCGCAGTGTGTTGAGATAGCGTACGTTTCCRAGTAAACTTGAAACGATATCTGATGGTTGGACCTCGCTTGTATGTTTTGCAATTTTTCTTGTCTTTTATTATAAATGTGTGCTTGAAGAATAATGTAATAACTTTCAAGTAGACAGTAAAATGTATATGGAAAAGAGAAGAATAAAAATCGTATTTTTTKAGCTACGTACTTCTAACAGATTCTGTAGTCATGGCAACCAAAGTTTGAGAAGTGAATGTGGAAGATAACCTCCAATAAGAAAACTCCTTTTTTAATTTATTTGAAGAAGAACAAAAGGTTATATTATCGGATAAGCAATTTATCTACATCWCATGACATTGTTACAGCGAGTGCAAGCGTCAGCTTCCACTGAAAAATTAATCACCTGAAACTCAGAAAAATGCAAATGAAACTACTCATTTGAAGCTGGAGAAGGAGGTTTGTGGCAATGATGTCTTAATTCTGTCTCCATTATCTTATCTGCAAAGTTTATAGGGGAAAATCTTCTTAAACGGGTATATTTACGTAGTTTGTACGCACCTGTYATAAGTCATTTTCTAACATCACTTGTGATTGGTTGTATGTTAATGACGACCAATCACAATGATCCTTGTATATTTTGTGGTCACTTAGAGATGAATACGCAAAAGGAGTTCGTGGTCAACATGGCGGCGAGGGAAGGAAGCGAAGAAGTAAGGAGACGAACGACAGAAACTCCTTCCTGGGCTCCTGGAGGAGCTGATTACGATCCAAGTCTACCATATGGACCTAAAGTTTATCTTGCTCGGCGAAAAAAGCCAGATCCTTGGTGGGTGACGTCGATTGAGGTGAGACATTGCACCATGTTTACATATTTTCTGACAGTTTTTCCACTCTCTGTGCGTTGAGTACAGACATATGGTACTCTAAACTGTATTTATCTATTCTCAAAGCAATTTTTCAAACACGAAAACTTTTCTTCAAGTTGTGATGGTTGATTAATATTCGTTTTTTGTCGTTGTTTAAGCTTAATTAAATTTAAGCTCAAGCAAATAACAATTTTAACTTATGCTTACCGAAATGAGATTCTTTTTGTAAAAATCTAACGGAAAAAATTAGAACGAGAAGACATAAATTTACGCAACACTAAAGATCTACATTTTAACTGAGTTTTATAATTAGAGAGAGCATTTCTCTATAATATTTCGAGGATTTTCCCATTGTTACTAGGGAACTTTTTGAAGACTTCCTTTCCTTTTCTCTTAATGATTATGCAAATAATGTTCTCATAATTAATTCAAAAGACAAAATGTTTTCTTATTAGCAGACCAAATGACCATGAATTTTCATCAATCTTTCTGTTTTCTGCGTAGATTTTTTAATCATATTTTTTTAATTCAAATGTGCAATTCTAAATTTTGTTAATGATGGTTATGATGATGATTCCACTCATTATTTTATCTTCTTATTATTTCTTTGCCGTGCCCTGTTCTTTTTTACATCTTTTAAATGTTCTCTTTAATGAATATTATATTGTTAAAAACTGCCATCCCTTTCTTTAAACATCTCTGCTTTAAATGCTAGGTGATGCTAAATCTAAAAATGTTGTTTTGTTTGTTTGTTTGTTTTTTCAGATAGCAGTAGTAATTGGAGTTCTTCTCTTCTTTGTATACATGTATTACTATATGGACCATCTCCATTTCCATGTCATCCGTGCTTATGCATACGCCGGCAGCTCACATGCTCAGCATCACCTTGGGCATAAATATCTGAGAGGTAWGCAAAGCTTATTACAACATAAATAATTTGCTGAATTTTATATAGTAGTCAAAATGTTCAAATGGAAGTGAAATGATTGACAGCAGTCTGTTAATAATTGCAGTTCTGAAGGTCGTGTTCAAATTCAATTTCCTCTTCAATTTGTAATTACTGCCCTATATGACTTATCACAGGTCGTGGGACAAACAAAGATGAGAGCCAAGCAATGTATTGGTTTAGGTAAGTAGAAAGGCTAATTAATGATCAAAAAATCTTGAGCTGACACTTTTGAGGTTGTCATAGCTGATGCAAATCTATTTATAAACATCAAGCCTTTTTCTAGGTGACTTCCCCCTCTTACCAACCAAAAGTATTTCCCGCTCAAAATTATTGTGCTTATAATGCAATCTCATTTTGATTATTTACAACACCAKAAGTCAAGTAATCAAGATGTTTTGTTGCTGCAGTTTTGGCAGTGTGGTGTTACACACTGAGTGATTTTAGGAGTTTGTTGCTTTTCAGAGAAGCTGCCAAGAATAAGCATCCACATGGTGCATATAATCTTGTAGCTGGACATATCCAGGGATACGACACCGATGTACAAGAACAGTAAGTCATTAAATTATTGTATGGTTAATATCTCATGTTTTCTTCATAATTATTTCTTGTTGTTTTTAGTGAAGTTGAACCTCTGTTACAAATGGCAGCTGAAAATGGAGTTGAAGAAGCCAAGAAAGCACTGAAAGATCTGTACCCTCATAAGTACTCCTGACGGCAATCTAGTGCTGTAGTAGAATGGTAGTTATACAGCACAAAGAATAAATAGCACCCACTGACAACTTATCCCCTTTCTACATTCTAATAATTTAGATATAATGCATGCTTTATTATGATGCTTTGGTTAAAGAGATTTACATCCAATGTACATTATCCTGAGCACATCACAATATGATTGGTTACATTATAATTTAAAAATTACAAAAAATTGGACTTGAATATTTCAGCCTTTAAGGATATAGAAATCTAAAATAGAGCAAGTCCCACTCTCAACTGACTATGCATACCTACATTATGCACCTCCTTCCTTCCAGCTTGGCTCCTCTCACTAGGGGAAATCCTTGATCCAGCTCTGCTGTAGTTGTATCATCTTATTTATTATAATAGCAAAGTATTCATTGTAAATATAGGATGTTAAGTTATGCATTTTGCATGCAATTATTTCTAAGTGACATGAGGTTTCTTAGGCTGACAAAAGTGGCTCCATCCCACTAGATCAATTTGCTATCAATTCTGGTATTAAGGAATTTATAATTAAATAAAGAAATGAAATAACTGTCCTCTGGAGTGAAGAATGTAAAAATTATAACTGGACATCACAGTTGGTGTACAACTTGCCTGAGTGATCAAATCCAGGCCCAACTTTGATGGGTAAAATATCATTATTTCAAAAAACAACACTCACACTAATAATTTTATTCTTTTATTGATTTTAAACTAACTTGGAGTAGGGCCTGCAAATTGTAATAAAAACAGAAATATTTGTTTGTGAGGTTTTGTTTTATACACACCCTGGTTACAAAGGCTTGGCTCAAATATTTTTTTGTTTTTGAGCCCAACTGGACCGAACTGAGACATTTCTTTTATGCATAGCAACCTCAGTTTTTTAATTTAATGCAGCACTTCAGCTATCAAAGATCAAGTAAATCAACCAATCACCGATTGGATCAGAATACAATGTTATCTGTAATGACCTTTGATTGGTTGGTTTCTTTGACATGTTTTGCTTTATGGCCATCTGTCTAGACTAGTATTACCAGCGGTTGCAGGCTGATATATTGGACTTTAACTATTCGTTGTTTCCAAGAACTGTCCGTACCTGGAACCTTCTACCTGCAGAGGTAGTGAACGCACTGGCACCTGTGATAAGCGAAGTCATGGCGGAAGTCTCTAAGCTCAAGAAAATTGCTTGTGAAACATATTGATAAACACGCTGACGAACTTAAAGAGATCAACAGAAAAATATGGCAAAAACCTGAGTTGAGTTTCGAAGAAAAACTAGCCCATCAAATCCTCACAGATTACCTAGAGAAACTTTGAGGTGAGCAGACATTGCACCATGGAGACGGCGTTTCGTGCTTCAAGTGGTGGCGAACAAGGACCGTGTATTGGGGTGATTAGTGAGTATGATGCACTTCCAGAGGTTGGCCATGCTTGTGGACATAATCTGATAGCTGAATCCGGTGTGGCTGCTGGAATAGGTATCGCTCGTTGGTTTTTATAAATATACACCTAATTACACAAACGTTGTCCAAGAAAAAAGAACTTTTACTATTTAAGGAATTAATTAAAATGCAAAAGAAAGTGTCTTCAGTGGTCCTGTTTTGTCTTTTACCCTAAATCTCAGTACAACGTTTTCTTAATTAGGTGTAATTGATAAAACTCGTGAATAAAAACCCTACGGGCACACTAATTTCCATGAAGTATTCTCTATATTAATTAAAGGCATTGAGTTCCTGTGCTGTGGTTGTCTTTTGTTATTTTCTTGAAATTCATTTTTATACCAACAGGAATCAAAGCAGCTTTAGAGGCTTCGGATAACAGTCTTGGCAAGGTTGTAGTGTTAGGAACTCCAGCAGAGGAAGTAGATTGTGGAAAGATAATAATGATTAATAATGAGTGTTTTAAAGATATTGACTTCTGTATGATGGTTCATCCAACACCGGTAGACTCCACAATGCCATCAGTGTTGGCCATCTGCACATTGACAGCAACTTTCAAAGGGGAATCATCACATGCAGCAGCATTTCCCTGGGAAGGTGTTAATGCACTTGATGCTGCTGTGGCAGCATACAGTAGTATCAGCATGCTGCGACAGCAAATGAAACCAACATGGAGGGTACATGGTGTATTCACAGAAGGTGGAGTCAAGCCTAACATCATCCCTGATAGAGCCACTCTTGTCTATGATGTACGTGCCCCTACTGAAGCTGAAAGATCTCTTTTGGTCAAAAAAGTTTGTTCCTGTTTTGAAAGTGCAGCAGTTGCAACAGGTGTAGTTATAGATGTTATTATAGTGGTTTTAACTAGCTTTTGCCCATTATTGGTTTAATTCATGCACGGTATTAAATTGCTTCATTATTTTATCCTTAAAAGTCATTACTCTTTTGTAGGCTGCACAGTAGATTTACAATCTTCAAAATACCAGTGTTCCAATTTAGCATCCAACCCAACAATGGCACAAGTATACCAAACCAATGCAGAAAACCTTGGTGTCAAGTTCCCTCCTCTCAATGAACAAAAAGAGAAAGTTCTGGGTTCCACTGACATGGGGAATGTTTCCCACAAAGTCCCATCCATCCATCCATTGTATAGTATTGGCAGTCAGGCTGTCAATCATTCATACGCTTTCACAGCAGCTGTAGGAACTGACATTGCTCACCAAAAGACTTTGTTAGCATCTAAAGCATTAGCAATGACAGCTATTGATTTGTATTGCAGTGAAGAACTTAGAAAACAAGTTAAAGATGAATTTATAAAAATGCATAAATAAAGGCTGCTTTACACGATATGTCGTGATTAGGGGGCTTTCATTTATTATCTCATGGGGGGTGGGGGTTGGGGGGAGTGGTTGTTGGTTTGGCAAAATTTTATAAATCTATCTGCAAACATTATATAATTACCCCCAGCATGTTATAAAAACAAACAACCCCCCTAAGACTAAGATTATAAACCMCCYYAAAKAAYRAWTWYMAAMATCWTCAARCMYCCCCYYCMMYTCTGCCGACGCATCGCCCCCATGACTAATAAACAACAGCACCCCTTATAATCATCAGAGTGACAGACAGACGATTTTTTATTTGTTTTTGTGTATCAAAATATATGTAATATAAACACTGTTGTCAAATTAACTCAAATCAGGATAATTTGAAATTAAATATTAAATTTAGTTTTTTAATATTGTTTTTTTAGTGCTTGATTCTCTTCCCACGTGTTCTCATTTTCTTTCTCTCTATTCATATATTCACATCTTTATATGTATTATTTATACATTTATCTATTTTTTAATTCGCTCATTTACTGAACTGTTCCTCCACTCTACTTTTACCATTTCCTATCTCCTTTATCTTATTTATTGACTTATTTATTTATGTATTTATTTTCTTATTTCTTAATTTATTTATCTATTTATTCGTTCATTTATTTTATTCATTTCATTACTTACTGACTGGTTTGTCTATTTATATTCATTTTCATTTATTTATTTTGTTTATTTTATTCTTTTATCAATTTATCAACTATTTATTAATCATTATTGATTTATGTTTTATATTTATTCATTTATTTACTTATGTTTTCATTCAATATTCATCTATTCATTTAGTTATGATTACATGTTTACTTACTCATTTATTTGTTTATTTACTTATATCCCCCCCCCCCCCCCCCAAAAAAAAAAAAAAATCAGAAACAAAAGTATCAAAAGCATTAGAAGTCCGAAGTCGGAAATCAGAAGTCCGAAGTCGGACCATCTCGGCCATCGTACATTTCAGTGAAGATCAAAAAAAGCACGGGAAAGCAGACACGTCATGGCGGAAGTCTCTAAGCTCAAGAAACTTGCTTGTCAAACGATTGATAAACACGCTGACGAACTTAACGAGATCAACAGAAAAATATGGGGAAACCCAGAACTTCTTTTCGAAGAAAAACTAGCCCATCAAATCCTCACAGATTATCTCGACAAGCAAAACTTTGAGGTGAGTAGACATTGCACCATGGAGACGGCGTTTCGTGCTTCAAGTGGTGGCGAACAAGGACCGTGTATTGGGGTGATTAGTGAGTATGATGCACTTCCAGAGGTTGGCCATGCTTGCGGACACAATCTGATAGCTGAATCGGGTGTGGCTGCTGGATTAGGTAAAAAATGATTAATGCACTTAACAGGGGACGATCTAGAACGTTACAAAGGATGGATAACTCATGAAAAAATATTAAAAATTTATTTAATTCTGTGAACATTTCTTTCAGATGTTGTCTTAGTTGTTTTTTCAGAAATTAAGCCCCTTGGATATATTTCTTCCTTAATTTATTCATATCATGTATGTCATAATTTCTATTGAGCTATTCTCTCTCTCTGGATCCATGCTTGCTCAATCTTCATATTTGTGCTCTATTGTTTTCCACAGGAATCAAAGCTGCTTTAGAGGCAACAAACAACAAACTTGGTAAAGTTGTTGTACTTGGAACTCCAGCTGAAGAAGGAGGAGGTGGAAAGGTCATAATGAATGAGAAAGGCTGCTTTAAGGATATTGACTTCTGTATGATGGTTCATCCAACACCTGTAGACTCCACAATGCCATCAGTGTTGGCCAACAACACATTGAAAGCAACTTTCAAAGGGCAGTCATCACATGCAGCAGCATTTCCCTGGGAAGGTGTTAATGCACTTGATGCTGCTGTGGCAGCATACAGTAGTATCAGCATGCTGCGGCAGCAAATGAAACCAACATGGAGGGTACATGGTGTATTTACTGAAGGTGGAGTCAAGCCTAACATCATCCCTGATAGAGCATGTTTGAAGTATTATTATAGAGCAACATCTGATGAAGAAATGGATCACTTGAAACAAAAGCTTATCAGCTGTTTTGAAGGAGCAGCAACCTCTACAGGTCAGTGGCTGCTGTAATGTTTTTATTTCATGTCTCTTGGATTTATTTATTTATTGAAGTTGTTTGATTCATTGAGACACTGTACACAGGTGAATGCAGGTTGCTGTAACTTTGTTTATTGCAATTTCGTTTGAGCTTTTCAGACTGATGATTTATGCAGATCATTTGTTTGCTTAAAAATACATTGGTTGCATTGGTATTGACTGGTAGGGTGATTGATTGAGTGGCTGGTTGGTTGGTTGGTTCAATGACAAACTCAGTGGTAGGTTTATGATTCAACATTTTTGGTTCAAAAGGTGATTGATATCATATATGTAAATTGATGTTCTGGGTTAGGGACTGATTGATAGATCCTTCTTGTATCATGTCTGACATACTGGTAAGTTAATGCACTCATAGATTGAGGTTCATCAACAGGTTCAATTGGTTGGTTGGTTTTCAACCGACTGAAGTTGATTTGAATTCATTGGTTGACTGCTGTGCATTGATTGATGTGATACTGCAGTGTTATTATGTCATGATTTTTTTTTTTT